TCACAGAGTGGTATTTACTTTGGCTGCATAAGGGACCCAGAACTTTATTTTTGATTTTTACTTTTAATGCATATGGGATAAAAGGTTGAGATCAGCATCTTCCATAGACAGTGTTGTCAAGGAAGCCCTAAATTGGAATGATGCACTTGTGTTTCAGGGGCTGTGGCTCTGTCTGTTGGCTCAGCACCAACCTGGGAGCCTGATCCCATCTGCATGGGCACACAGGCTTTAGGGCATCTCTGCATTTCTCCTGCAACTTTTAAGCTTCTGTTGCTGTTTTGAAGTGTCTGCCTTGGTCCAACTGACTCACTACTTCTCAACTCTAAAGCATTGGCCATTGGCTATGAGCATTCTGGAAGTTTTCCCCATAGACACAGCATATAGCATGGCTTCCAACCTGCTCGTGTAAGGACTTTCCCTATCAGAGCTACAAAAAGACTTTTATGAACCCTCTAAGTTGCACGTAAAATGGCAAAAACCTTTTCCTGGAAACGCAGGTCTCAGCATCTGTGGAAACTCTTGTTTATTAACACTCTGAGGCCTGCATCTGTGCATCTGGGAAGGCTTGACTTCATGCAGCCCTGCTCAGCCATTTACCATGAAAACGTTTTTCCCCTCCCTGCCTAAGGAGTCTTATTCAATCATCGGTGTCTCCTTTCACACACCCTGAAACCTCTCCCCACTCACTGCAATCTTGTGCCGTAGACTGTTTTTCTATCGCTGGTATAGCGCTTGCCTCAGTTTCCCTCAAGTTCGGTTCCCCATATATCTCTCGCTTTCGTGGTTTGAAGGCAGCTGAGGGTATAAACTCCATTCTTATTATCTTTATTTTCTGCTCCACTCACCATCCCCACCTCGGAAACTGGGATGGGATGTGGTGTGTGCTCAATACTTAAGTGTTTCATTGATTTGAAGTGATATTTTACTTTTAACAAATATAATGTATTTACTATGCAAATGTATAAAAATAGTATATTTTCATAATTCTAAATTCTGTGTTAAATGAGAATCTTGGCAAATTTCCAGAGATTAAGAAAGTTTTGAAATCAATTGGTATTCCCTTCCTTAGGGTTGCTGATTATCTCCCAAATGTCTGACTATGCACTTATGTCACTGGACTCTTACATTGCAGGGAGTACTCTTTACAGAATAGTGTCAGTCATATTTCATTGCATGGGTATCAAGACTTGCCTTGGTTGGGAACAGTTTCCCTGAAGAAGGTGAACTTGAGAAAATGTTAAGAAAGTTCACTTGGAGAATGGAAAGTTGAAGAGTGTAGTAGATTGCATTATCATTCAAAATATTGGTTGCCCTTCCTTAAAAACCCCCCTCCAGTAACCTGAGGGTTGATGATAAGACTTGCTCTGGCCAATGAAATGGAAGGAGATGTATGTGTGACACTTCTGTGGGTCAAGATGTGATTCACATACTCCCTTATCTCTCTGTCACAATGTCCAGCAGTGTCCCAACAGAGGGACCTAAGTGGATATGTAGTACAAGAGAGAAAACAGAAATTTCTGTTGTTGTAAGCTACTGAGATTTCGGGGGCCAGTTATTACTGCAGCATAAGGCAACCTATCCTGCCCAATACAGAGACTATCCCAGGTACAGTGGAGGTAGTGAAACATATCTGAAGCACGGAGAAGCAAATAATGAGTAATATGAAATGCGTTTATTACTGGCCTTTGCCATTGATTTGTAAACTAAGATCAAATGAAGACATTAAATTTACTTCAATAAAGATATGAATTTGCCATGGGATTGTAAACTGAGATCCGATAAAGATGTTGAACTTTTTGGGTATTAAACTCACTAAACCAAATACTCCTATTTTCATTCATCCTACATGTGGAAGTATTTATTGATTATGATGTTGTAGATGTTTATCTAGGCATCGCAGTGTATAAAAAATTCATTACATTACAAACTTTACCTTCGGGACTGGACAACTGACTAAGAAGCTCCCACTTTAGTAAATATAATAATTATACTTAAAATGAGAAGGAAAAATTCAAAAGGATGATCACTTATATTTGGAGAAAAGAAGAAAGAATTCATAGGAGATGTGGCATTTGATCAAGGTTGTGGAGGAAAGAACTTGTTTTAAGGAGGGAATGGTGAGTTCCAAGCAGCAGAGGCATAAATTAAAAACAATTAGCTTGGAGCAGAGAGAATCCTCTTTGGGTAGAATATAATGTGCCTACTGCAGAGATGTGGTGTGAAATAAAACTGAAGTTAACTTTGGAAAACCGTGGGTGCATACTCTGACCTTGAAAGGGAGCCATCAGCCATAGGAGACTTAAATATGGGATGGCAGTGAGTGTCAAAGCTGTGCTTCACGGTGGTGTGGAGGGGCAGAGGGCCAGGACTTGAGATGGCATGGCCCAGGATGGGGCTCTCACCCAGCCTTGTGGCACCTGGTGTCTGCAATCCACACACACGAAGCATGACATGAAACATAGAGTTGCCTCCAGTCTGTGCGAAGGGAAGCTGTATTCCATTAATTGTGTTGGGAAAATTGGTTAGCTGATTGGGAACAAAAATCAATGTGCATCTTCACTTCATGTCAAACAGTAAAATAATTGCTTCAAAATCTGTGTGTGGGTAGAGCTCTGTTGTGAGCTTTTCTAGGCCTACAATGTTTTAAAAGTCACAGAGAAAAATAAAATGAAATGGATAGATTCAAATACACACAAAAATTTAAGTATCTATACATGTCCAAGTCAAATTCATCAATGTTTTAAAATGAAAAGCTGGGAAGATGCTTACAGAGAATATGAGCAAATGTTGGCATGTAAAGCACTTAAATGAGTAAGCAGAAATAATAAGAGAAATGAGAAAAATGAGTAAATAATATAATCAGATAATTTATAACATTAAAAACAGGAAAAACAGAGAGAGTTAGGAGCTGGTTGAATGGTCATGGGGAATCGGGCAGAAAGGAGGAGTGTGCTGTCACAGAATAGGGTGAGCAATTAGGGTCTCAACAATGTATGTACAAAAATTTTGTATGGGAGACTAACTTGAAATGTGAACTTCATTTAATTACAACAATAAAAAAAACAGGAAAAACAAACATATAGGAAGTATTCAATTAAAGAAGATGATTGAAAGGAAAAATGTTTCTCAAGGGGATTAGCAAAAGTTATTTTTAACAGAAGTCATGTAATATTGTAATATTTGCAGGTGAGTTGGGCACTTTTATAAAGTACAGATAGTGGCAGTGCACACTGGTATGATTATTTTGCAAAATAATTTGACAATCTGAATCAAAGTTCTCAACCCTTGGTGTAGCAATTCCTCTGTTGGGATATTCATTCTAAGTAAATAAGTTTAAATATATCAAAGGAGCTCTGCTCAAAGATATTCTTAATACTATTATTTATAATTTAAAAAATGGAAATAATCTAAATCTACAGCCCTGAGGAATATGTACCTGTAAACTATAAAATGGAAGTGTATATATTTGGTGGAAAATTAGGAAGACTTAAAACTGTGTTTACAAAGAATTTGTAACAACTAGGAAATGTTTGTGTTATGATGACAATATGATGTGTGTAGTTGATCAGAGCCATGTAAAAAACTATACCAAAAAACTAAAAACAAACAAACAAAAAACCTAGTGTGGAGGAAATTTTCCAGGCTGTCAGCCCTGTAAGATGTTTTTTCTCCTTTAGGTAATTCTGGCTGAAAATGTGGTTGTTGCTAAAGTCAGAGGCCTGGAGATAAAGCCTTTCATCTTCTACGTAGTCATATGAGTGAATCAAACTGCTCATAAAAAGAAAACGGGGCAAAATTTGGAAGGAACATGGAGCAAAGTCTGGACACAGGAGTGCACAAGAGCCAGTCAGGCTGGGTGTAGATGGAGGCCAGGAAAGCCAAGATTTCCTGGAGCCTAGGATGTGGGGTTCCTGGTGGTGCAATGGTTAAGAGCTATCCCAAAGGTTGGCAGTTTGAATCTACCAGCCACTCTTTGGAAAACCTATGGGACAGTCCTACTCTGTCCTATAGGGTCACTATGAGTTGGAATCGACTAAAAGACAATGGGAGGATGTAGGAATCTCTTGGAAGAGAAAACCATCCCCAGAAGAGGTAGAGGAGGAGTCAAGGAACTTGATGGCTAGAGAAGGTCATTGGGTTTTCACTGGTTAACTTTAAAGCCGCTTCATTAGACTACAGAAGATAAGGAGCCTGGAGGATTGGAACTGATAAAGGAGTTAATAAATAGAAGTCACTCTTGCCTTGCTCCAAGCAAAACTAAACAAAACAAAACAGATCAGGCAACTGTAAAACTAAATGTGGCAGACTAAATGGGCTATTTTCTCAGTCTTTAATGGTGGTGGTGGTGGTGGTTGTGACAGGTTCCAAGGTGTGCTGAGTGAGGCATCCACATCAAAGGATTAGTGCTAGAGTTTGCATACAGGAATGACCAGGTGTATCTCCAGGCTCCTTCACTGCCTTTCCTGTGGTCAGAGACAGCATCTCAGAGCAAACTATGGCTTTTCCTGGGACAAGAGCTGCTTCTCCAGTTTCCAGGTGGTCCGTGAGCTATACCACCCAGTCTAGGATCAATGCTTCCAACGCCTTTGACACAAAGGGTGTTTAACCGGTTGCTCTGGATGCACTGAGAGGCAAACTGGCCCGGTAAATCCATGAGTCAAATCTGCTGCTGACAACAGAGAAGAAGGGGACAGTTGTTAATTAAATGATAAACAAGATATTTGGCATCATTTATTTATTCTAATCTAAAAACTTTTCCAGAGTATTTAGACTTAGTAGGGTCTCCTTATCATCACCTTATAAAAAGACTGAAGTACCCCACCCTTCCCAGGCCCCCTATAGATACCACTAGACAAACAGCAGGCAAACAGGAACAAGCTGCGTGCTTGTGGACTTATCCCAGTGCCTCAACTGCATGCTGTTGACCATGGATATCAAAGCACACAGCTGGGGCGGCTGTGTCCTTCCCACAGTTAATGACCCTTGTTTTTCTGCCTCAGGTGCCTATCCTCGACTTTCACTGAGCTTTCGGTTAAAAAGAAACATTGGATACTTCATCCTTCAGACTTACATGCCCTCTATACTGATTACGATTCTATCCTGGGTGTCCTTCTGGATCAATTATGATGCATCTGCTGCTAGAGTTGCCCTCGGTATGTGTTATTTTGAAATGATATTTAAAATGTAGAGTAACGGTATCATTACAGCATTAAGAGAGTTCAAAAGCTATAGCTCAACAACAATTTTTTTGGCATCATTACACCAATCTTGCCTATATAGTCACATTTTATCTTGAAACACCAATTTCATGCACGATTCCCTTGATGTGTTAATTTAATTATAAGGCTCAGATGTGAGTTTTCATGCCCATGAAAGGAAAAATATGCTTGCAGAATATTTGCATAATAAAAGTATTTTTGACAGTAATTTTAAAGCAAGGAATAACATCTCCTATTCAAAATTATTCTGTGACCCAGAAAGAAGACTTGATTAAATGTGCATTCTTCTTTTTCAACTCAGAAAAAAACAGTCAAATATTATAGCATATAATTGGAATTACACAATTTAATGGGGATTAAAATATGTAATTAGATTCTGAGTGATCCCCAAGAGCTCTAGAAATCTTTTCTGGCCATTGGTCATTTGACAACTGGATTATTAGCCTGTGTATGATATATACTATGCATTATAGTATTTTTAGTTTTTTTCTAATTATTAGAGGAAGACTTCTATTTTAGGAAACATTATTCTCTACTCAGCTGATTATTATGAAACTGCATCACTGAGTGGCTGTGCACAAGGAGTTCGTTCGTGTCCAGTGGGGTCCTAGGTGCTCTGTAGCTGCACAGAGGGGCGCACAGCAGAGCCCCTTGTCGGTGCCCTCCTGCTGGCTCAGGGCTCTGCGGACCCTCAGGTGAGGGCAACTTGAGCCCGCTCTGCTTCTTCAACTGAGAAGGAGGTGCTGGCTCTGCAGGTGGCTGTGCTGTGCAGCTGCTGCGTGCCTCTCATGATTTGAGGCTCCCCCTGGCCACATATTGGACCTCAGTGACGTTGAGCTACTAGTATTGTAACCACTACACTGCAAGTTGGAAGTGTTGACTCAGTGGTCTTACTCACAAATCTGAAGTCCACTCTCAGTGAATAGCAGTATCAGTACTTCAAAAAGTGAAAATTTATGTTAATATAATTTAGGCTACATTACTTTGATCACAGAGAAGAGACATAAAATCTGTTTTAACTAAATGATACAAAAAAATTATAGTTTTATTTGATAATCATCTTTATAAATACAGTTTTTGGATACAATATTTCATTAACACAATCTAAATAAGAAATAATTTAAGGCTAACAATTAGAAGAAAAATTTATCAGCCTGGTGAGTGCATAAAGAATGCAGAGACCACAACCCCGTCAGTCTCTTGTATTGCAAGATGGTGGAGCCCTTCTGCAAGCACAGGCGACAATAAGGCAGAGGGGCAGAGCGTAGGCTTTGATGAAGAACGCTAGAGGTTTCCAAAGAACTATTCTGCAATGGTGATAATAATTATCTGTTGTTGTTGTTAATAATGACAGTCACAACTTACTAGGCACATCGCCAAGTGCTTTCATGTGTTAACATTTAGTCCACAACACCCCAGACAATGAAACAAGCCCGTTGGGATTATTCAGGTCACCTGCTGAGAAGTGACAGAGCTGAGGGTTGGCCTGGGCGGTGTGGTTCCACTATTTAGGCTGGGGACCACACAGTCTACACTGTCTACGATGCTCTAGTTAGGAGGTGAAATGACAGAAGAATTAGGAAAAAATGCATCAATCAGCCTTTTAAGGTAAGAGCTCATGTGAGCCAGAACAAGAAAGACTGGAGCACTCACTTCCCACCCTTACCACATCCATGTCTGTGCGGAGCCAACTGGAGAGGCAGGGCAGCAGCAAGTGCAAACTGTTAGGCTACCCAGAGCTATTTTAAACAGAAAAAAAAAAAAAAGTAGTGGAAGCAACATTACAACATTTTAGAATAATGGTGAGAAACACTTAATTTTTTCAGCATTAACATGATGTTTTAACATTTATTTGTAAACTGTAATTATGCCATTGCCATTTTCAAATTTAAAGGCTCCCCAGGTGCATATGAATGTTATGTTTAAAGGAGAATCTTAAAATATTCTGACTACCCTAAGAAATCATGGATTGCAGTCACTACACATAACAACGGCCTCCATTCTTCAGTTCTCCTGTGTTCTTTCGGTAGAAGTTCAGGGATCAGATGGAGAGAGCATGAGTGTCTCTGAGAGAGCACTCCTCCCTGTTCTAACAGGGGCTTGTGGTGAGCTCAGCGTGTAGCCTCAGGTCCTCTCTGTGGCTTCCTTCCTTTGAAAGTCTCCTTTTGGAGAGAAGGCCTGACCCAGCCCACTCCACTGGGTCTGGGGAGACACATTACAATCACATCCTGGAGCACCAGTTGCAGGTGACAGAGAACTCCCTCATTGGAGCTGCCTTGCTTCCTTGAGATTTAATTTTTTTGTTTTTTAATTTTCACTGTATTGGAATATATATAACAAAATATTTGCTATTTCAACCACTTTTACGGTGCAAGTAGTGACCATTACCACTATCCATTTCCAAATTTTTCTATGACCCTTAACAGAAGCTCCATGCCCTCTTAACAGTGAGTTCCCCTTTTCCCCTCCCTTCCACTCACCCCTGGTAAACACTAATTAATAGACTTTGGTCTCTATTCATTTGCCTATTCTCATATAAGTGGGATATACAATATTTGTCTTCTTGTGTCTGGCTTATTTCACTCAACATGTTTTCAAGGTTCATCCGTGACATAGCATGCATCAGGACTTCATTTCTCTTTATAGCTGAGTAATATTCCATTGTATGTAGATACCATATTTTGTTTATCCATTCATCTGTTGATAGACATTTAGGTTGTTTCCACCCATTGGCTCTTGTGAACCTTGGGACATCTTAATATTTCAAAGTATTATCTCCAAGAGAGCATGCCAAGAGAGACAGTAACTGGAGTAGTTACTGTTTCACCAAGAAGTGAGTTCATGCCTTTTCGTTCTTGCCAGAGTAGCTTAATTCAACAAGCTCTGGTCGTGGCGCTGACTCGTCCCCTGTTCTCTGTGGCCTCAAATTCTTCAGTACTGAATCTTTGTGTAGCAAGAACTGTGTCCTTTGCTATGGGAGAGTTGCAAAATGTGGTCCCTTCTCTTAGATGTTTTTAGTGACTAAACTTATTCTGAATTTACTCGCTTTAGTGACTAAGGGAAACAATGACTTTGGGAAACAATGAGGTAATTTACAAGATTCTACAGAAAGAATTCAATACAATGACCTAAAAACTAAAAAAAAAGGATCTGGTCAGTAACCCCAGAGTCTGGTGTGATACTATGCTTTGAATACAATACTTAACTCTTGACTTCAGGAAATATCTCCTGAGCAGCTTTTATGTAAGATGTTCTTTCTTAGGTGCAGAGGGAAACCGCTCTGTGAGATAATCTGCCCTCAGGAGCACCACTCAACTATTCCTTACTCTTTGAGCTCAGGACTGGATCGCATCCTTAATAGTAACTTTGGAAAACATTGCTTTATTCCTCGTGCTTCAAATAAGCATGGTAGTAAGAGATGTCTTCTTACAATTGGGATCTCACTGATCCCTTACTAATGACCTCACATTTCCAGGCGTAGACCACCCCCAACTCATCTCTGGGCCTGGAGGATTCCTCCAGACATTCATGTTTTATGTTAAATCCTGGACTTATTTTCATTTCCTCCACTTTTCGTAAACAGCATGTTCTCCTTTGCTGCTCTAGATGTCTCTCCTTCTCTTAACATTCCATCCTCTCTATTGACAACGTGAACCCCTGTGGGGATGATTCCCAGAGCAGAGATGTTGCTTCCTGTTCACAGGTGGGATGTTCTGCCCAAATGACAAGTTGTATGCTCTATTGCATTTCCACCACCCAATAATAGTCAATCCATAATTCTCCAATCACTTCAAGATGTGTGAGAAAATACAAAAGGAAAATGAAAAATGAAGAGCAATGCAGCAAAGCCACCACCTCTCACCTTCTATTTCTTTTACAGGGATCACAACTGTGCTGACAATGACGACCATCAACACGCACCTTCGGGAGACGTTGCCCAAAATCCCCTACGTCAAAGCCATTGACATGTACCTCATGGGCTGCTTCGTCTTTGTGTTCCTGGCCCTTCTGGAGTATGCCTTTGTCAACTACATTTTCTTTGGACGAGGCCCTCAGAGGCAGAAGAAGCTTGCAGAAAAGACAGCCAAGGCAAAGAATGACCGTTCAAAGAGTGAAAGCAACCGGGTAGGTGGCTCATTGCCTTGACCATACATACTATTCAGGGACACCACCTTGCCCCTCACAGCTAGTCAGTCACTGCATCTGCTCTCATGGCCTTTTGAGTAGGAATTATATAGTCTTGTTGACAATAATCTGAGCTATTTCCTCATGCAAGTCACTGAATTTTACATAAAACCAAAATTAGTGGAGAAGCTGAAGAAGCCAAAATCTTCTCAGTTTTCCATAAAAACAACAGAACCTGTGCATACCAGAATTAATAAAACTCTAGGGAGTGGAGCCCAAATCTGGCACGTAGAAACATTTTTTCCCAAAATTTTCAAATATGTATTTGGCTGTAAAATTACAAGTTTGATTATCCAGCTCATCACTGTTCTTTCCACAAGGGTGGATGACTGACTCCTTGCTCATACTCTGTAGGGCAGGCTGCCATCCCTCAGGGTGGCATTTGGTCAGGGAGCTCCCTGGTTGGCCCCAGCCCTAGCTCCTCTCTGGTTTCATTTTGCCAAAACTCAAGACGAGGCAGAGGAGGGTACAATGCCTTAGGAAGCCTCCAGGCTCTCTCTTCAAGGGTGAAAAAGGATTAGGTCTACCCACCTCCAGCCCAGTTCAACCCACTCTTCCAACCTTTCATTACAGAACAACCCAATTATTTTGATGTTCTATCAGTTTATTTTTAATGAAAGCAATATTTTGTTGTAATTATAAATAATTTTTTAGTTAAAGCATATTATAATCTCTATATAATCTTTATTTTTCCTTCCACCTCTTTCATTGCATCGAATTCTCAAATAGATATTTCCACCTGTTAACATGTTGAGTTTGTTTTGATCTTCTTTGCTTTTTTAATTCTTGCTCCTTACTATGCTGTTAGTGCCACCCCATGCACGTGCCTCACACAGGAGTGCAGGCAACTGCTTGGAGCACTGCTGGTACCTACAGCCTCAGAGTTGTCACATAGTAGGGACAGGGGTTAATGATGCATGACACAGAGAGAACGCAAATGGATTTCATTCTCTCAGCAAAACATAGAATTGGTCAGAGAAACCCAGAATTTGTGAATAAAACCAGGCTTTTCCACGGGCAAAATCATCCTGAATTTCTTACTGGAAAATGAACTTAGTACCACACTGTTAGGTTCTAAATAGACTTGCATCTTGCAATGAATACATAGCATTCTCGGGTCGTGTGGTTGCCAAGGAAACGGGAATCCCTCGTTATTGATTTCATCATGCAGCCACACGTGTGCACACATGAGCGTGTACCCACACACAATGCTGCTTCCCTAACCCTACTCTACAGGTCTGTTAATTTAAACAGGTTATAAATGTGTTTCCTTTGTACTTAATGAAACTGTTTAAAACAGTCAAATTGCTTTACTACAGAAATATCTTTTGAGTGTGGAGCTTAAATAAAAAGATAAAACCCTCTAACATCCACAGAGAAAATTAGCATAAAATTAGAAAGACTATATTATAAATCCAAGACAGTGGAAAATTTAAGTTTATTCATAAGATCATTTTTATTGCTTGCTTTCCTGAGAATTTTTTCTCTGTTTTACTGGCAATTTTGTTAAAGCATTTATGTGTTCATATTTTTAAAAATCTGTAACTGTACATCAGCTTGTAAGGTTTAAAATCAGCATGCAAAGAAAGGCATATGTACTAATTCTAAATGCACATTTGATACCCATAAAGATAAGCATTAAAAATTTTTCCCAATGACACCTAAGAATTTAGCGATAATTTTAAGTAGAAATGAACCTGCCAATAAGTTTATCTCAAGGATGAATTAAAGGAAAGTGAAAAAGAATCACAAATTGTATGCAAAATAGAAATGGCACTAGATACAGGCCAGTTGTTTCATAGGTTACACAGCCCTTTGTGATTAGTTACTTATTAATCTTCAGTAGTATCTCTTGGGATTGGTTGTAAGTGTAGCCCTCTGTGCTACAAAGGAATTACTTTTGAAAACACTAACCTTAGCAAGCCCTCTTCTCCATGCTATGGATGGGAGCTAAGCACCTGAGCACAGAGGTCTGTCCTTCCCCAACCAACAGTGACCCACTGGCATTTTCTTTTCAAAGACCACCTTTGGGTCCTGAAAGGTACCCAAGGGAGGACTGTGCAGTCAGGGACACTGCAGGCCACCTAGTAGGGCTCCATGCCTTTGGGACTATTAATTTATCAATCCTTCTATAAAACCATGAGTAATTATACAATACTTTAACTTAGTTAATTGACCCATAAATGCTCAAATTTTTCACGTTTTCACATAGTTTCTCCTCACACCAGTGGTACAGTATAAGCCTTGACTGTAGTTTATTTGTGCTTAACCTTTATTTGTTCCTGAGTTGTTTCTATACCCAAGATGAAGTCTTCGGTTGGAATGCACATATTATTGTCACAGGCTGTCTTAGTTTCTTAAGGCTGCCGTAACAAAATACCAAAAAGTATATGGCTTAAAACTACTAAAATTTATTGTCTCATAGTTCTGGAGGCTAGAAGTCCAAATCAGGGTATTGGCCATATCAATTCCTTCTGGGGCCTCTGAGAGAGGAGCTGTTCCATGTCTTTCTTCTAGTTTCTGGTTTTTTGTTTGTTTGTTTCTGGAAATCCTTGGCATTCCTTTGCTGCTTGTAGATATACCTTCACGTGGCCATCTTCTCCTCTCTTATAAGACACCAGTCATATAGGATTAGGACCCACCCTATTCCTGTATGACCTCATTAACTTAACTGATACCTTCAAAGATACCTCAGACAAGGTCACATTCACAATTAGAGGTTAAGACTTCAACATGTCATTGAATCCATAACAAAGCCTTGTGATATTTTTGCAAGCTGATCGGTAAGTATTTGAATTTCATGAGATGGCAGAAAGTTGAAATTCTTGCCAGGGAATCAGAGCTGCAGTTTTGACGTCATTCTTCTTACTAAAGTGCAAGATTTCATTCCTCATGGGACAAATAACATCTTATCCTTCTAAAAATAGAGTATACTACTTATTTAGAAGCTTGAAGGTAAGTAGAAAAAGAGATATCAACTAGGTGCAGTCTGGCAACAGATTCTAGGAAAAAAGTGATGTATTCTGCATTAGAGGTTTTCAGTCTCTGAGTGTCGACATCTGCCAAGGTTACATAGCAGGAAGAAAAACTACAGTGAAATCAGTGGTTCTAATTAAAGCAGATATGAGACAGGACCCCTCAAAATAAGGAATATTTATGAAATAATTTAAAAATTGAATGTCGCCTATTGTTCTATATAGGATATTTCTATATTTCACCCACAACAACTTCCATCTATGTCAAGACTTAAAGTCTAGATGTTAGGAAAAAATTAGCACCCCTTTTGGAAATATGAGTTTAAAGTGTCTGATTCTTAAGATTAAACCAGTTTTAGCAACCCCTTAATTCTTTCAGAGGAAAAAAAATCTTATAGTAATTTTGGTGTAAATTTTTCTACACATTGGTTCATGTTGAATACTTAAATGCAAAACTATCAGTAAAACAACCAAATTGTTTTGCTCTAAGATCTTATTAATTCAATATATATTCAGAATCCTTTCAACACTAGAATAACTGTTACCATTACAATTTGCATTATTAGTTCCATTACAATGTAAGAATCTACCACCCTGAAATAAGGATAATGTAAAATTGTACTGGCTCTTCAGACCTACCTTACCTAAGCTGTGACCTAAAGCAGCTACAAGCTAGCCATCAATATCTGAGCCCCAGGGAGTACTTCAATTTTGTGCATAGTTAGTGGTGTTGGTAGGAAACAATTAGAGGAGGTGGGCTTGGTTCCCTGTAGGGCAAGTCTCCTCCATCAGTGTTCAAGGGCACAGACTGAAGATCATTATCAAATGCATTCCCCTTATGAGGTCATTCCTAAAACACCTGGCACTGGCCACAAGGGGCATTGATTTATACAAATTTATCACACAACCTAAAATATCAACTAATATCCAGTTGACCCTGTTGTCATGTCTTCTTTCCTCTACCTGTGCTGTTCCTGAAACCACCATGTAAGTTATTATCTCTCTGCCATCCGTTATCCTGTTCTTTCCACCAGGATGCCTTCCCTCTTCATCCACATCGCCTCCCGTTCAAAGCCTAAGCCAAATGCTCTCCTTCATAGTATTTTTCTTGATTTTTCCTCCTCCTTGTCCCCATCTTGCCTCTATCACTTCCTCCTCCAGGCAGTTGGTTTTGTCCCTCTTCTCTCAACTTCCAAAGCACATGCTCTGTGATTGGGAAGTGGCATGTCCCTTATATTCCCTGCACCCATGATGTCTTCTCTACCAGATGGTATCCAATTCTTTGCATGGACCCAGATGCCCCCACCGGGACATGAACATGGGAAGTGCTCATGTCACCTGTATTCAAGAATGAGTGGTATTTTTCATCATTTGGTCCCACTGAACCCGTATGCTTGCTCGCTTTTCAAGTGAGGAGAAGGGAAGGCTCAGAACTGTGTCTTTTAAAAACCGGGTAAAACTATGAGTCATAGCACTGACAAAGTTCATCTGAATAAAGGGATTCTAAAATACTTCCTTCCTTGAAGAAAAGACATTTCTTTATTTGATAGTTCTTTCTACAGTGTTACTAATTATAACCCCTGGATTTTTATAAAAGGAGCTTTTAATGCTGTATTTCTGATAACTAGAAAGAGATGGTATTGTCGGCATGTATTTAAAAATGCGTGTAAAGGGCAATATGCAGTACTGTTTTGAATGCACCCGCTGATTATATGAAGCTCTCATGTGCTAGACTCCTTAAGGGCAAGGGCTTTCTCTTATTCCTCTCTGGGGCTCACACCTCACACAGGCCCACTGCAGAGCAAGTAAGCAGTGATTATCTTACACAGATAGATAACCAGGAGTCAGCTGGGTGCTGCCCCTCTGCCACCCCACCTCCAGGGAGGTGCTCTGCATCTGATGGTTTTGTTCCATCTGAAAGATTACAACCTTCAGGAAAACAGTTTCAGTCTTCTGAGGTTCTAGTTAATATGTAGTTACTATTGAAAAGAATAAATTCTACATACTAATTTAAAAAAAATAAGCATCTTCTAGCTTTGATTATTCTCTGACTCAATTTTAGTTTTAGTTTTATACGTATTAGCCTACTATTTACGTAGATTTTAATGTTGGATATGTAAATAAAATCCAATTAAATCTTTTTAATAAACTACCTCAATTTATTAAGCCTCTTTAAGTGAAAGCCTCATGTTTTCTCTTATGATTCAAAATCAGTTTGATGGGGTATCATGTTTATTCACTCTAGGACTAGAATAAATGGACTTAATGAGATTGTACTAGCTGATTCCCCCCACTAACCCCATTCCATGTCAAGACTCCTAATGTGCAGGGAGCCATTCGCTCCTTCACCACCTAGGTCACAATAGAAGGTGCTGGAGGAGACAGACAAGTATAATCCATGTGTGAAGCCCTGTCTTCCTCTCCTGCCTGCTGCCTTATACTTAGCTACGCACAAGACCCAAGACAGGTTCAAGTCATCCCCCTTCTTCAGGAGAGTACGTGACCACTCCGGACTCTAGTACTCCACAACTCCTGGGCAAACTCCACAGAAGGCTGTTCGCTGTTCAGAGCTTCCTGGACACCCACTCTTCTTCTAGCCTTTCCTCAGCTCTCTACTCCTTTTTCAACCACTTCTTAGTTTATCTGGTGACTTTTTTCTCCCACATTCTCAGTATGATCAGAGACTCGGTCTCCCAAACCACTGATATTCACTGAATCCTGAGGACCAGCGAACACTTACTCATTTTAAGGGTTTAACTGCTACTAATTCCAGGAAAGAAAACAAGAAGAGCTGATATAGGAGAGAAGTTCCAAAATTTTACAGAAATCTAAGATTCCTGGTGCTCCTGAACACAAAACGTGTTTGAACTGTCCCCCACACTGGATATAAAACAACAAAACCCTATTATTCTTCTGTCAAGACCCCCTTCTCCTCTCAAGAACTTGTTTCCACAAAAGATACCAGCATATGGTGGAGACACAGCAAATAGAAATTGGTCATCTTGGCCTGTTTGTAGCCTGAGCCACTCCAGACTTGCTGTGGTCAGTGCTACAGAGACTTTGTCCCGCACAGGACCATTTCCATGTGGCACCCCTCATCCTGCAGGGCACAGTCTCTGCCTTTCCATGTAGGTCCTTCCTGTTGCTGCTCAGGAAGGGTGGTTGCTGGGTGGAGTCAGCACCAGGGGGACTATCTAGGAGCTTGGTGAGTTTTCAATAGAATGAGCCTGGGACTCTACTACTCAAGGTGACAGATGGAGTAGCTTCATTGGAAGAGTCCACCAGAGCCTGATGGGAGGCAGGCTTCTCCTGGGCCATCCAAATGTTTCTGCAGGGATTCCAAGGGGCCAGGTGTCTGGGGTCCCAAGGTGGGAACAGGGTGGTGAGTAGCTCTCTCTGTTCCTCTCACCTGCTGAGATGCAGAAGTGAGTGGTGGGCAATGTGTGGGTTCACCAGTGTGCTGGTGGGTCCTACAGGGCATACTCACTTTGTTATAGTGGCAGGAGGGTAGAGTGACCAAACCTGTGGACAGATGGACCAAAAAGAAACAAACCATGCAGTGCACTCCAACTACAGCCCCTCTCTTTGGTTGCTTCTCACAAATTCTCCACTCTTTATCCAACAGCTTGACATACAGAGAACACTCATGGCTTGGCCCTCATTGCTTTCCCAAGGTTCCTCATTAGGCAGGCTTCCCTATCATGATGGAATGCCATGAAGATGTCAGTGACAGTGGTAACAATAGCAACAGCCCCATGTGCCGGGAGCCTTGTGCTATGAACTCATTGTCTCTGTGTCTGTGGTCCCACTCCACTAGCTGGCCTTTGTCAACCATTTCAGACTCTTCATGTCTTTGATTGTGATGTTTTTCCTGCCTTCTGCCTGGAAAAGTTCTACTGATCCTTTGAGGCACATCTCAAAGGGTATTGCTCCACCTAAATTTTCTTTGTTACCGCCTGTATATATTAGTTTTGATTGCTCTGCCATAACAAATTACCATCAATTTAAAAGCTTAAAACCACACCCATTTATTCTCTCACAGTCTGCAGGTCAGAAGTCCACTACAGCATGGCTGCCTGGGTCCTCTGCTTACCATCCCACAGGGCAGAAGCCACAGTGCCAGCAGGCTGGGATCCTTTCTGGGAACTCTGAGGATATATCCACTTCCTGCTCATTCAAGTTGTTGGCCATACAAGTTCCTTGCAGCTGTAGGACTGAGGTCCCCGTGTCCTTGCTGGCTGTCAGTTGAGGACCTCCTTCAGCTCTATAGTCTGTCCACATCCTCTCATGGTTTCCCTGTGACACCTCCAGCGAAGGCATTGGAGTCCCTCATGTGCTTCAGATCGCTATGCTTTCACCTCTGTTGCATCTCTCTTTCTTTTCTGCTTCCAGCCAGAGAAAGTTCTCTGCTTTTAAGATCTCACATGATAATAATGAGTTCACCTGGATAATCCAGGATAATCTCCCTATTTTAAGGTCCATAACCTTAATCACATCTGCCAAGTCCCTGTTGCAAGTAAGGTAACATATTCACAAATTCTGGGTATCTTTGGGGGCTGTTATTCTGCCTACCACCTCTCTCTCTCCACAAGCATAATTGAATGACCTTTAATGGTGTTCCCAAACCATGATGTAGACATTTCAGAGTCTTTTTTTTTTTTTTTACTGGAATCTTTTTGCCAAAGCCTGAGTGGTTGTGAACACTTGCAGCTCTTCTTGTGTCTGGGCCACACTTAGTGTTGGGGAGCTGTCTCACCCATGGCCAGGACAGGTCAGAGCTCAGTACAGGGCCGCGCTGCTCAGGGGACCCTCGAGCTCCTGCCTCTTCTCAGCCAGGGTGCCCTTCTCAGCTCGTCTCCTGCACATCTAGCTTAGTGTCTTCAATGAAATTCAGAAGATGGAAAGACACAAATATAGATGAATTATCCCTCTACAAAATAATTAATGTGGTGAAAGCCTCACAGAGGAAGCCATAGGTGCTTAATCTAGTTTTACGAGAAAAAAATAGATTTCCACAGACAAAGGAAGAAAAGGAAAATGGCCCTCCAGGAAAAGGAACGGGAGCTAGATGGGGGAATGCCAGGCAGGCAGCAACAGGGATTCCCTAGGGCACAGTGGAACGGACTGAAGAGGGCTTGATGATGACTGGTACTCCTCAGGGGGAGAAGCTCCAAACTCATCCAGCAATGACTTCACTGGGCACATATAGCCTCTGGATAGTTCTATTGAAAACTCTGTGCCAGGTTAACAAAAACATGGATTAGGTACCCATTGGCCTCATTATGAATGTTCTGGAGCTGTATTTAGCACAGAAGAAAATTATAAGTTTAAAGTTGGATTCTAATGTGGAAGGAACTATAAACCCACTGCCATCAAGTCAATTCCAACTCATAGCAACCCTTTAGACGACAGAGTAGAACTGCCCCATAAGGTTTCCAAGGAGTAGCTGGTGGGTTCAAACTGCAGATCTTTTGGTTAGCAGCTCAATGTTTAACCACTGTGCCACCAGGGCTCCTAGTCTACTTTAAATATAGCCTACAAAGGAGGCCTCCTGCCAGGACCATAATGGTCCAAGAGCTCTTACTTGGGTGAGTGTCTGGTTTAGGTGCAACCTAACCCACCAATGTCACAGGAGTATTTGTTAGTTTCTCCAGGATAATATAGATATTTCATATCCTCCGAAAAGGGGACAAGTTGACTTCCAGAGAATAGGGCAGAATAGTTTCAACCCAGTGCATAGTTGTATAAAATGGTTATAACACCTAAGTTAACATCTTGAAAGACTTTTATTTTCTCTTCAGTAAGGATTTGTATCCATAATATGCAAATTCAATTTGAAGAATTTCCTGTTATTTTATCTAATCTCCTATGTGAGAACTTTTAAATCAAGGAAGTAAAACCTCTAAACTGCAGTTAAACCTCCAAAATGACATTTTCCAATAAAACGGAGTGCTGGGCTTAACAGCTGTGCAATTTCCCATAATGTATGTGATATGATTGTAGGACGAAAGTCTATCTTGGGTTTGCATATGTAAATCAGATTTATTGGCATGCTGGTTGTCTAATGATGTTCACTTTCTTCCAATTAGGTGGATGCTCATGGAAATATTCTGTTAACATCACTGGAGGTTCACAATGAAATGAATGAGGTTGCAGGCGGTGTTGGTGATACCAGGAATTCAGCAATATCCTTTGACAACTCAGGAATCCAGTACAGGAAACAAAGCATGCCTCGGGAAGGCCTTGGGCGACACATGGGGGACAGAAGCATCCCGCACAAGAAGACCCATCTACGGAGGAGGTCTTCGCAGCTCAAAATAAAAATCCCTGATCTAACCGATGTGAATGCCATAGACAGATGGTCCAGGATCGTGTTTCCATTCACTTTTTCTCTTTTCAACTTAGTTTACTGGCTGTACTATGTTAACTGAGTGACTGTACTTGATTTTTCAAAGACTCCATTTAACACTGAGTGAAATATTACTCTGCCTGTCAAGTTTTTATACCTGTACACACACAGACACACACGGAGACACACACATATATGCATACGCAATTGTATATATATGTGAACTTTCTCAGCATATATATATAAAATACACGTGTATATGAGGATGTATATGTATATGTTTATACACACAGGTGTAAACGCCCATGTGTATGTAAAACAAGTACACATACATATATACATTTTGCAGCTATGGACAATTTAACACAGAATGCATATTAAAGAAAGTCATAGTTTTTTTTTTCTTTTTTAATTGAAAGGGACAAGTATCATCTAATATTATGCCTTGAGAATGAGGGTGTGAAACACAGTATCATCCCAAAATGTGTCTTTTCTTATAAATTAGGTGTTTTAGTTTACAATTCAGAAAGAAATTCTTAGTTACTCTTCAAAATCTCATACAGTGGTATTGCTAGTTTGAAATGAGTCACACACTTCATATCCTCTCTTTCAGTTTACTAAGTGGAGACTTTTTGGCTTTTTTGGTGAAGGGGTATTTTTCATCAGGCATACTTTTCCTGTGACCGCTCATTGGCTGAGGTGAGTTGCTGGCAGTGAGCTCACCTGTTGTCTGGAACATAGGTAGATCCCATGGTGATGTCTGAACATTCATCTTTGAGAACCCATCGGGAGTGAATGGCATCTCATTGTAAGTACGCTAATGTACAGTGTGTTTGTGTGCTTACTTGGAGTAGATTCAGTTTACCAGTCATATGGGAAAACAGTAGCACATTTTGGCAAAGTTTAGTTGACATTTCAGTCACAGGAAATGTGCTGTCCATCTCATATGGATTTTTAGGCCTGATATCTGATGGAAAGCATTGGCGTCTCAGGTTATTTGTTACTCTAAGGGAAAAACATCTAGGATGACTTCGCCCTTGCATTTACATTATCAAACATTCTTACTACATCTTATGTTACTATAAATATATTTGCACAATATGCATATATATGTATATTTACCAAGATTTTGTTTCTTATGCTTGCTCTCACGGCAGCATGCAATGTCATAGTTTTCTTTATGTGACGGAATTATTTTCTGTTATCTAGAGTTAAGATTGAAGCTAAGACACTTCTACTATCCAATTTTCAAAACCAAGAGACATCCTCATGCCTTTATTTCTGTATCTGAAACATGCCATAAGCACTTCCAACTCTGCCTAGACTCACTAGGACGCTGCAGGAACATGAACAATACACACCATGCATCACCCCGCGACCCATGACCGTGCTCTGGAGGCAAAGGAGAGCCACTGACAACAGTCACGGTCATGTTTGATTCCTTCTGATCCACAGCCTCATCAGTATTTGGACTTTTTAAAGCTCGTAGAAACAAGACAAGGTGCACTGGTTTCATAGACGCAACCTTAACTTACTATTTAGATGAGATCTTTCTAAAGAAAAAAAAGAGATGATATATTTTTTGTAAACAATATTTCTATCACAGGCATCCATAAACTGAAATGACTACAGTTGTGCAAATAGGTGTCACAGTAAAGTTAAGCATTTGGAGGAAAAAAGTAAAATATGCAGAAAAGAACTGCTAAATTAATATTTTATCTCAAAATGCCACATATGCCTCACCCTCTCTGTTCTATCCAAAACAAATGACTGAGTCTAGTGCGACACTTTCAGGGAGGGCTGTCTGCCCCGTGCAGACAGACACAGCTCTCCCAGAGGATGCTATGGGTGTGGACGATCACCATGAGCTGACTACCATTCGGTTTTTCTTTGGTGGTCATAACAACCTTTTATTTGTGGGAGTTGTAACACTTCAAGACTCACCATCAGGCTAAACATAATCCACAAAATACCCTTTCCCTGCCTTCATTCCTATCTTTCTTCAGAGTCTTCTTCTGACTGCTGCTCTCCGGTTCCATTGTTCGCTGGAGACTAGCCAGTGATTTGCTGCTCTTTGGCTTTTCTCTGACAGTTCTTTTCACGGGTAACAGTGGGGGATACTAAAAGCTACACTGATTGGGAAAAACCTTGTAAGTGGCCTTATCATTGCTAACATGTTAAAGAAAATTAGACATTTGTGAAGACCTTATCCCTTTCAATACTTCAGGTATCTTTTTCTGTATCCAGTGATTCAAGGTGTGAGCTCCACTTGCAGAAGAGGGACCCCAAAATGCAAATGAACGTGGACAAGAGCAGTGAATGGACAGTCTGAGTGTACAGTTTATACTATTCAGAACTGTGACATTAATTCTTTCTGGGAGAAAAGTGACTCAAAAACTTTTTTGAAGCATAGTTGAGGTATCCAAATATCAAAGGCAGAGACCCCCTGGGACTCGGAAGAGCTGCAGTTCTACTTTCCAAGGTTTTCTGGATATAAATTTGCATGGTATAGTCATAATAGCTTTTGAGCTTTTTATATGCATTTGGCACCAAGACTGGGATCCACAACTTTGTAGACACTGCAATGAAGTTAACATAATAGCTATACTATAAATAGTGTTTGTAACTACACACACACATACACACATGCACACACACACAAATACATACATATATTCTGTAAAAAAGAAACTTTTTAAGATCCTTGGGTGTGTGTTTGCTTTACTCTGTTTGAGAAGAAAACTACTTTTCTTCTAACAAAATTATTTTCTAGCTTCTCCATTTTTAAAAGTTGTGAGCAGTATTGAGAAGCAGAACTTCTGACTGTGCTACAAGAGGAGAGTTGAGCTTGGTTCCCTGTTTTGTTAAAATGACCTCTCCTTACTCCCCAGTAGTTACTCGAGCCAGGGAGTGAGCTGTACTGATGAGTTCTGAAACTGACGTCAGACGTTAAGATGAGGTAGCCTGTTACCCACATCCAGAACTCTTGAATAAGGAGAGAAAGATTTAATTTGGGATATAGTGGAATTTTGTTCTCAACATCTGAAAATAATAAAAAGTTAATTTTCTAAGTAGTGCTGTCTTTCCAAAATGCTTCACAGGGGCTCATATGTACAGAAGAATCTTGTTACTACACAGTTTCTTACTACCCATATTCAGATAGACTTGCGAGAATTCAAGAGCTCAGCTACATAAATCCACACAAAGAAAGACTTGTAAGACTCTAGTAATCTTTAACATAAGTGTTATTCCTGTTCATCAACCCCAGGACTATAGAAGGGTTTAACTGTCTATACCATGAGGCATTCATTTCCCTGAATCCAAAATGAACTAGGAAGTACGTCATGATAATATCCCTTAAGTTTGAAAATTACACGTACATCTGCAATATCAAGTTTTTAATGCCAACACCCAGGACTTTTGACGTGTTCATTCATTCACATCAAATATCTTTCTCTTCTGTTCAACCATGAACGAATGTTTTCGCCAAGGAGATAGCCTCAGAGATGATGCCAAACAAGTCTGGGACTGGTTTTAAGGGGACAGGCACATTGCAGCTGTAGGTGTCCATTTTCCGCATCTAGTAGATAACCTCATTGGTGTTTGTGCCACAGTGGTGTGGTTTAAAAAGAAAATATGGCCAACTTTGAATCTCCTGACTTGAAAATATAAACCATTTCATAATTCTTATTTTTACTCTCCACCTGAAAACCAGTTCATATTTCTGGCCATTTTGCGTAAGCAAAACTGAACAATTGGTGAAATATTTTGTTGCTCTTGGAATCGACTCTGGCTCTTAGTGTCGCCATCAGTCTGAGTAAAATTAAATCTAGGGGCAAAGAGCTGCCCAGGTGAATTATATTTTCCCAGGACACTAGCTAGTGTGCCTTGGCTTGATTACCTCTTCTACTGCATTGAAAGGTGCCGTGTTTTCCTGAAATACTCAATTCCCAACACCTGGGTAAACAGTGACCTCCCAGAGAGTGGCTCACAATACCATGCCTCTCCATAGGGCCAGCCCATTGATGTGTCTGGTTGTACGCAGCTCATATTTTTACTTCACAAGTCAGTGAGTGTATTCAAGGTAAGTACAGGATTATCCCAGTAGGAATAGACGATTGCTGTCATGATCAGTTCCTTTGTTGATTTCATTTCATTGTAAAGATAAATTAAAACCCAGTTTTGCTTAAGCACATTGATGTAATTTTTTGGTATTATTTGACATTAAAAAAACAGCAAAATTGAGTGATAGATACAATATGAAACTTGTTGATGAATGAATTCAAATTTATTAAAAAAGGACTAACTGACTTAAATATGAAGACTGATTTTTTTTTCTTCCTTGGCTATCTTTTGTTGAAATGGTGTGGTTATTTTAATGTGAGTCAAGTTTAGTTACACATGCCTATTCGGGTTATGCTGAGAGGAAAAAGAAATAAGGCCAAGTGGACTACATGTGAAAACCAGCTGAGCTGTAACTTTTTCTTTTTTTATTAATCATGATTTACTCTGAACTTTAAAGGGTGGTTAGACACACAGAGATCCAGCTTGTCCCTGCCTTCAAATAAGCACTTTAAGAAATGTTTTTAAATTAAAGGCCAAGGAAACAACCTACCAATGACCTCTGGAAAAGGTGATATTGATTTTTGTCCTGTTGTTCTTTAATAAAATAAGGCAATTTCTCTTGTTTATTCTCCAATGAGAAAGTAACAGTGTCTCAAAATGCATGAATAAGTGAATGAATGAATTCAGTTCTTCAAACACCACAACCTAAACAGAACTTTTATTGAGAAATATATCACTTCTTCCATTTCCAGTTACCATCATGTCAATTCCAATGTATGTAGAGTACGTATGTATCCCATGTATGTACGTAGGGTAAAACTGTGCTCCATAGGGTTTTCAATGGCTGATTTTCCAGAAGTAGATCACCAGGATTTTCTTCCAAGATACCTCTGGGTGGACAGAACCTCCAAACTTTCGATTAGGAGCTGAGCACGTTAACCATTTGCACCACCCAGGGACTTCCCTATATATCTCTAGACCTCTGAAAAGGCCGTTAGCTCACCTGTAAATACCTCTAAAGCAATACTTCCCACAATTGTTATTGTCAGTCCTATAAATACCTTCAGCTAGTCTAAGGAAAATAATACAAAGTATTAGTAGTACTTTTTAAGGTCTGTTTTTTTTTTTTTTTTTCTCTTCATTTCATATGATCAAGATTTCTTTTTACTTTGGGACCCTGACTTGAATATATTTTACACTAATTCCTTGTCTAAGGCAAGATAATCACCCTGAGGGATTTTCTCACCAACTACAGTAGGCTAAAGGAGCCTGGGTGGCACAAACGATTTGCCATTGACTACCATTGACAGTTCAGGTTTAAATATTTTATTTAAATATATTAGGATAAATATTACAAGAAAAACAAAACAGAAACACTGCAGTTAAGAGTTTTTCTTCCTGGAAAGTGGGATCAATTGATGGCATGTGAGAAAAGAGCTGTCCTGACTGCTGCTACTGTATGATCAGGGTTCAGAGCTTTTACATTTGGTTCTGTAATAATCCGTCAGTCTTCAGTATACTAACTAACCCGTTGTCATCTAGTCAGTCCTGACTCATAGCAACCCTATAGGCAGGGGCAGATTACCCAGTAGGCAAGGTAAGTACAGTTCTTACTTTGCTTGCCAGATCATCTGCAGTGAACAATTTTACATGCATTTCACCACGTCTTTCACATCTTTGATGTGGTAAAACAATGTGTCCGATGGTTAATATTGTATGTCAACTTGGCTAGGCCATGATTCTCAGTGTTTTGGCAGTTGTATAGTGTTGCGATCACTTCCCTGTTGAGATCTGATATGTGATCACCCCCATGATGGGATCTGCTGTGAGTCGGTGTGGAGGAGGTGGGGGTGCAGGGCCTGTGGTGGCTCACTGACCCCCTTGGCCTTCACCTCTTTGCCCTCTGCCACCTAGCTCTTCCTTCTCTCCTTGCTGGGGCTTTAGCTCATTCTGGATCCTGCAGCTGGCTCCTGTTCATCTGACCGCCAGTTCTTGGGACTTGAGCTAGTAGCTAACCTATGGTCTTGCCTGCCGATCTTGGAATTCGTCAATCTTCACAGCCTCTGAGCAACAACCCTGCTCTCTGGCCTGCCTATCTTGGGTTTGCCAGCCTCTGCGGCCACTTTACCCATTTCCTTAATATAAATCTCTCTCTCTCTCTCTTTCTCTCTCTCTCTATATATATATGTATATATAGATATATGTATTTGTACACTTCACTGGTTTTGCTTTTCTAGAGAACCCAGCCTAAGACAATGTGAAATTGTTCAGTACAGATTAGTAAGTAAGCACAAATAAGCCCGTGCTTACCTTGCTTACTGGATCATCCACACCTGTCAGGGACTGTAAATTTGAAAAGAGGCTTTGACTCTGTAGGAAGGTGTGGTGGGGTTGAGAGAGAGACAGACGCCAGCCATATCTAGAAGCAGAGTTTTCGACGTGGTGAAAAAATGTGAAATTGTTCACTACAGATGTTATGGCTCTGATTCATAGCAACCCTAT